GGGTTTCGAAATCGCCAGTTAGAGCTCCTCCCTGTCCTAACCTGCTCACGATGCTGAGACGTCCGCTCCCGGCCCAAAGACACTCCAACAAGACACTGCTCATGCACGCTGTCACCTAAGCCTCAGGCAACACCCCTTGTCCTCCACCAGGGTATTTCTGGAGCTTCCCCCCCCCCCCAGGATTCAGCATTATCCTTCCCTGGCATCTGATCTCCAGTCGGAGGCAGCCTGATCCTGGGCTGAGCCTCTCCTGGCAGGTGAGCCTCTCACCTTGACCTCTCTCCATTCCAGCAGCCTGCCCCGTGGCCTGTGTGGTGGCAGAGAGAGCCACAGTCCCTGCACTCAGCCCCTGAGTGTGAGCTCCAGGTCTGCCTCGTGCGACCTCGGGCCACGTCCTCCGAATCAACAGGCCTCAGCTTCCGCATGTGGAAAGCCAGAGGGGTAGGTGAGGTAGGGGCTCAGAGACCTGTGGTCTGCAAACCACTGGACGGGTGTCCTGGGGGGGTGGGGAGAAGGAGACGAGCAGTGAGCAGCGCTTGGAGCTGTTTAATTAATCACAGCTGCTCTGAGAGCACTTGCTGTCTATAAAACAGCATCATTAGGTAGGTGTTAACTTTTCCCCACTGGTAGGACTAGTGCTAGTAAATGTACTGTGACGAGCGTAATGCATTTAGGAGAAAGTGCATAATAAATTATCAGAAAGAGCTGCATTTTTAAATATCACTTAATACATCAAGTTTGCCTCTCAGCCGCCACCAGCTACAAGGCAAACTTTCACGCAGACTTGCTTACGCTGGCACTCCACCGCGCTCCCTGTGCCAAGGCCACGGTCGGGGCCAAGGAAGAGGCAGTGATCAACCAGAGTGGACAGCTCCCACGTCCCTTCGTGACTTGCCCTTCGTCTTCAGAATCTAAAGAAAAACAGGGCTTCGTTCACCCCGGGGCCCCTTGCAGAATGCGGCACCGGGCTGGTCACAGGGTAGGTGCCTGATAACTGCTTGTTAAAACCTGGATTCACAAAGAAGTGAGCGGACAGGGGCCCCTTCCATCAAACAGCAAGTGCTGGGAATTCCTCCACTGGCCCCACCTTAGGGTTAGAAATTGCTGTTAAATAGAGAAGGTCCTACCAGTGCAGCCTGCCAAGCTCTGCCAGGAATCGGGAAAGGGTGGAAATCGGGGGTTCACGTTAGGCCCCGGCCACGCAGACCCCAGCGGGAGGTGCCAACCAAGGACACTCAGCGAAGTGCAGGGTAAAGGTCGTTTCCTCTAAACGGCCTGTCGCCTGCTGGAAGGAAAAGCTTTAACAGAGGCTCTCCGCCGGGAAACGGGTGGTGATGCCCGAAGCGGGATGCGTCAGACCCCCTGCTGGGACGCCGCCCAGGGGCTCTAGAGATTCTGACGCACCGCCCCCGCCCCCAGGCGTCGCACACTGAACAGTGTGGCGGCAGCAAAACAGGTGAGAATCACTGTATTAGACCATTAGCACCTTCTAGCCCAGCAATTCTCACAAAAATAATTGTGCATAAAATAATCCAGGGGTGCTTGATATGATGCACCCAGAGACTCCATGAACATGCCTGCGTCAGTGGGTATAAGGAATAAGACCTGCATTACCAACAGGTGTCCCGTTGGTCCAGATGCCAGGACCGTCCTTCCTGCATCCTCCTCTACCTCACCGGACAGGAGCGTTTGTGTGTTGGTGGAGGTGGGAGCTTAGAATTCTGGGAGGGATGCAACTGGGGGAAGAAATGAGGGCATAGTGTTCCCTAGGGCTCTGGGCAAGGACAGACTCCACCCACTGCACTTTGCCAAGGACTCGTTCGAAATGCCGAGCTGCCCCCCCAGCATGGGGACCGGATGGGACAGGACTGCTGGGGTCTGGACATGTCCAGCTGCTCAAAGTCCCCGATACACGCCAGCTGGTGCCCCAGCCTTGGCACGGACATCCACTTCTCAACACACTTTTCCCTGTGTTCACACCCAGTCCCTGCAGCAGAGAGAGAGAGAGAGAGCAGCCAACTGCACTTCACTGGTAGAGAAACTGAGGCAGGCACCAGGCGTATGACGGTGTTTTGCACCAGGAAGGCAGAGGCAAGAGAAGAGGTTCAGCAGTTCACCGACTGACTGCTGTGTGCCCAGCCCTGCGCAATGCATTTCTATCCATCTCCACCTCCAGTTTTCATGGGGGTGTCTACGGGCCTCCTCTCCCCCTGGGGGAGACCAAGGGTCTAAGTCAAGTCAGGCACAGGAGGAAGGAGCCACTGGCTTTTGGGTCCGAGTATGCCTGACTCCCCAGCCCCCACGCTTTCCAGAAACTGCACCCCTGCCCAGATAATACCAACTCTACCTATCCATCTTGGCTGGGCCCGGGGCTAGACGAACTCAGACCTTGGAGTGGCTCTTGGCTCCACCACCTGTGATTCTCCAGCCAGTATCCCAGGTCCCCTGACTCCACACTTGGAGTCTCAGCCCCTACCCCACTTCTAGGCCTTCCCCAGAGCAGCACCTGCAGAGCCAAGAGCCATGAGCTGATCCTCCAACAGGCCAGGATGGAGCTGTCACCCCCCTTCTAACCCCCTCCCCCCAGTGAACATGGGTATAGCTTTGTTGTCAAAAGAACACAAGGTCGGTGAACCAAAAGGTCACAGGTTCAATTCCCAGTCAGGGCATGTGCCTGGGTTTCAGGGCAGGTCCCTGGCTGGGGGCAGGTGAGAGGCAACCAATCTATGTATCTCTCACACATTGCTGTTTCTCCCCCTCTCTTTCTCCCTCCCTTCCCCTCTCTCTAAAGATAAATAAATAAAATCTTTAAAAAAAAAAAAAGAACACAGGGTCAGGGGCCAGAATATCTCCGCTCTCATTCCCAGTCTCTTGACGTTCAGAAGCCTTAGTTTCTCCAGCTGTAAGATGAGGACAACACTCTTCTTATTCCTCAAGTGAATTATGAAACGATGGTTCAGTGTCTGTATTTTAATACCCTGTGTCATTACATAATCGCTTAGCGATGCGGCCACCTCTGGCACACAGGAAGTCATTCCGCGCCTGTTGAAGGACTAATCCCCACAAGCATTCCTGGAAACGAGAAGCCCATCGCGACGGCCGCCAGGCTCGCCTCTCCTTCCCTTGGCTTTTGACTCTTGGAAGGCCGAGTTTTCTCCCATCAGGACCCCTGATGGTCCTTAGGAGCCTCCGGTGGGTCCATTCCTACTGCGACCCCCGCTTCCTCTTGGCCCTCTCTCTCCTCCCCGTTTCTCTCTCCTCAGTTTGAGCTGTCCCCAAGCAAGAAACCTCAGGAGAAGGGTTAGGAAACGAGGTTTGGCCCGTGTTTCCAGCTGTGCTCTGATCCCTGGAGCTCTGATCCCTGGAGGAGGGCGGGGCCGGGGAGGGGAGTGGAAGCTTCGGAAAGTGAGCACGCGGGGTTCTAATGCCAGCCCTGCCGTCAGCTAGCGGCCACCCTGGGCAGGTTACTGTGTCCGCCGATTACTACGCAGTACACTACTGTGTCCGTAGTGGACGGAATCAGCGACATGACATCCTGAGACGTCCGTGACACAGCGTACCGTGGTTTTCACCAGTGCAGAACTCACCTTGAAACAGCGTGGTTCTTCATCACTTCTCACCCGCGAGTCTCATCTCCCACGGGAAAGGGGAAGAGAAAGCAACCGCAGCCTTGCTGAGCACCTCTTATCTGTCCTGCTCTGTGACAGATGGGGCCTCACCATAAGGCTGTGAGGTTTGAATTAGCCCCATTTCACAGATGAAGAAACTGAGGTTCAAAGAGATCAGATGATCTGCCAGAATGATGCACCTGGAAGTGATGAGGACAAGGCCTCCCCTCCTTTCTCCCTGCTCCCCACACCCCCCACCCACTTACAGGGTTTATGTGGAGGGAAGGGAATAGGCTGGCAGCCCCTCATTCACACTCCAGGAAAGGACCCAGCCGAGAAGATAAGCATTCCTGATCTGTCGGTAGAAACCAGAGTAAACAAGTTTCTGGCCGTGCCCAGAGCTTTCGGGGGACACACCTGTGTAAGCAGCAGCCATTCCCAACACAGCTCTGTTTCCGGAAAGCAGGACAGCCGCCAGGGCTGAGCTGTCTGGAATTTGTTTAGTTATCTGACCATGTGAGGCCAGAGCCGGAGGGCAGACCACACCCTGCGTCTCCACCTCGGCCTCACCCATCACCCCCGGGAAGGGCTCCTCTGCCTGGGTGCTGCCTGCCCTCACCCGGCGCCTGACCACAGCTTGTGATGGAGGTTGTCACTGAGCCTGCCCCCAGGGGTCCCTCCAAAGACACACGGGCTAAGCGAGGGACTGAGCTGAGTTTACAGAGCGCTTGTGTGTGGTCTGAGAGGAAGTGTGAACACACTGGGTCAGAAATGACCTTGGACAGCTGAGGATGCATGAATGTCCTGCTGCTGTGTGAGCAGCCTGGGCCCACACTCCTAGGAGTGTGACTGTGTGTCCCAGCGGAGGGGTGTGTGTGGGGGGTGTGGAATCCCTGATCACTTCTGTGGTGTGTTTGTGCGCCCTGGCAGGCGTGCGGGGGGTGTGGAAGGCATCGCGGTCTGCCGACCGCCTCTTTATGCCCGTGTGTTATCTCGGCTACGCTCGGCCGACTCTGCGTGGATACATATGCTTGTGTGTGTGTCCTGCAGATACGAGCCAGTGGACACGCGCTGCCAAGTGTCCACACGTGTTTGTGTGTGCTCGGGGTGTCCTTGCACAGCTGCGTGAGCCCCGTGAGAGCTCTGGAGAGACCCAGCGAGCCCTGGCACGGGCGGGAACGTGCAGAGTGTGCACCCTGCGTGTCCCTCCCCAGCTCCCAGCTTGTCCTGCGAGACCGTGTGAGAGTGGAAAGCGCGCAGGTGGCCCTGCCTCCCGTGTGTGCGCGCGCGGGGTCCCGGGCCGGCGCGCGCCGGTGTGAGTGCGAGTGAGTGCGGCGCGGCTCGGCTCGCTCGGCTCGGCGCCGCCCGCGCAGCCCGCGCGCTCGCTCCGCTCGGTTGCTACCCGGGTGACGCGGGCTGGGCCCGCCCCCTGCCTGCTGGCCCCTGCACTCACTCGCGCCCGCGGCCGCCGAGCGGGTAGCAGCCGCGTCAGGGCCGTCCTGGGGCGCCGCCGGCGCTGCCCAAACGCCCCCGTCGCTCCCCACCGGCCCGCGGAGCCGCCCCGGGCCGGGGCCGCGCCAGACCAGGCCGGGCTGCGCCCGGGCGGGACCGCGCTGCCTGCATGACCCTCCGGCGGCGCGGGGAGAAGGCGACCATCAGCATCCAGGAGCATATGGCCATCGACGTGTGCCCCGGCCCCATCCGACCCATCAAGCAGATCTCCGACTACTTCCCCCGCTTCCCGCGGGGCCTGCCCCCGGCCACCGGGCCCCGCGCCGCTGCACCTCCGGACGCCCCCGCGCGCCCGGCCGAGGCCAGCGCTGGCCGCCGCAGCCCCTCCGACGGCGCCCGCGAGGACGACGAGGATGTGGACCAACTCTTCGGAGCCTACGGCGCCAGCCCGGGCCCCAGCCCCGGCCCCAGCCCCGGCCCCAGCCCCGCGCGGCCGCCCGCCAAGCCGCCCGAGGAGGAGGCAGACGCCGACGGCTACGAGTCCGACGACTGCAGTAAGTTTCCAAGTCGCTGACTTCGCGCCCCCGCCCGCGGCTCGGTTTCTAACGCGCTCGCCGACCTCGCCGCCCCTCGGTCCCCCCGCGGTCGCCCGCGGTCCCTCGGCACGCACGCCCCGCCGGGTCGCGGCCCCCCTGCCCGTTCCGCGCGCTCTCCGCGCGCCCTGCAGACCCGGCCCCGACCCCTCCCTGGACCCCGACCGAAGAGGTGGGAAGTTTGGGGGCGACCCATGGGGCTGTCCCATTTCCGAGGTCCAGCTCCCCGGAGCCCGCGCCGCACCCCCTCTCCGCCCGGAGCTCCGGCGCGGGCGGCAGCTTTTGTTCCCGGGAAGGGCGGAGCTGCGCCCTGGGGAGACACCAGTTGCTGCTGCCCGCGCGGTAGCTCTCTGCCCGGGAGTCCGCTGCGGGTGGCCCCTCGGCCGGGGATCGGGCTGGAGCGGCAGGGGCGGGTGGCCGAGGGCGGGGACCGGCCGGCCTCCCGGGTGGGCCCGGCGGCCCGCAGAGCGCGGCGGATTTGCTGCCGCGCGGACCAAGGACCAGTGGACTGCGGGGCCGCTTGTCCTTTGGGAAAACCTTGGCGATTCCTCCTCCCGCATCTGTGGACCCCCGCCACCGCGCTCGCGCGGGCTGCCCGCCTTCGCCCACCTGTTACTCCCGCCTCCCCGGCCAGGAAGGGCCCCCAGCCCGCACCTCCTCCTCCCGGGACTGGGCCCCCAGCCCCAGTGGGCAGGCAAGCACTGGGGGTCCCCGGGACCGGGCCGGCAGGCGCTGCTGGCGCCCTTCGCGTCTCTGAGGCGCTGCCGCGCCCGCCCCAGGACTGGAGGGGAAATGGAAGCTGAAGAGGTCGCTACCGGTGCGGAATGGGTTGGAGCGGGATGGGGGTGGGGAGGGGGGGAAGCGCTGCTTGCAAGGCCCCCAGCCCAGCTGCAGCCCCAGCCACGTTCCTCTCAGACCTGGAAAACCAGCGTCAAACGCCAGCCCTGCCTGGGATGTGGACCTTTCGGAGCAGGGGTCACTCGCGGGCGTCTCCAAGGCCCACCCGGCCCCATCCCCGGCACAGCGCAGCGAGGTCGGCTATGCCTGGCTTGGGTGCTCGCAAGGGCCTCGGGCTGGGGGTCGGGAGTTTCCTCGGGTAAAATGTGCCTCTGGAAAATGATGGGGGGGGGCTATCAGCACGACTGGGGTGGGAAGGAGAGAGAGGGTGGCGGGTCTCTCGTTGCCTACCTAAGGGGGCCCAGGAGGAGTGAGCAGGAGGCCCGTCAGCCGTGGTGGGTCGGAGACCGGGCCTGTGGGGGAAACTGCCTGCTCTGCACTTCCCCTGGGCCTGGGCCCCAACCCTACAGCCAGAGGTTCCTCTGCTGAGGCCCCGCCCCCACCCCGCGTGCGGGTGGGAGCAGCCCGGCACCTCCACTTTTCTGCCGCCTTGGGGAAATTGCACTGGGAGAGTTTATTGGCCTCAGGGCCGTGCCCTGGATCACCCCCTCCGTTCCTGGCACCCTGGGCAAAGTGCACCCCCTTACTTGCCGTGTTCCTGGGCAGGCCCTAACTGGGCCCCAAGTCGCCCCTTCGGACACCCTGAACCCAAAGTCGCCTCCTGAAGAAGGGACGGGGAATTCGTTCCTGTTTCTTCTTTCATCTCTTCTCTCACCCCAAGGGAGTGAGGGGGCAGAGCGGGGCTTCCGCCTGAGCTCAGGCAGCCCTCAGGGTGCCACCAAGGGTCCCCTGGATGACATACAACAAGGAGATGAGAAATTTGGTCACATCTTTTGGCTATCCCTGACCCACAGACAAGGAGAGGACTGGAAATTCCAAAACTCAGGCCGCCTGCCACATCTCCGGTCCGTCAGCTCAGCAGTCCTGCACAGGGCACTGTCCCAGCAGCAGAGAGGGGTCGGAGCTGGGGCCTGGGCCCAGAGAGCTCACTATCCTAGCAAGGGCAGGCTCCCTTGGGGTCAGCAGTAGGGGGCAGTCTCAGACGCAGCCTCCCCAGCCTGGCCTGCGCCGGGCTGGCCACACCCCACTGCCAGGGCACCTGCTGAAAAGAGCTAGGGCAGAGGGAGTGTGTCCGAACGGGGCCAGCCTGGGCCCCTCACCCCCTTCAGGGAGCAGCCTGTCCTGGGCTTGGGTCCCATCAGTGGCTTAGCGAACCCCTGTGCGGGAGCACAGAAATCTGGGCTCCTGCCCACAAGGGAACTAAGTTCTGGGGCAACAGCACTCTCAGGCCACACCCCCCTCTCAGCTCTGACCACCAGATCCCTAGGATAAGCCTAAATGATTCAAGCCAGATGGTTCTTTACCGCTTTAGCCAGGGTTATGCTATTTGCTGCCCTAATTATTGGATTATCTCTCCTCTAACAACAACAACAGAAAAAATTAGGGCAGTTGCTCTCTTGTCCAAGGCCAAGAGTGAAGTGCTCTTTATTCATTTGGCCTTTCCTTCTCTTTAAAGCTCATCCATCCTTATTAAGTCACCTCAAGTCACAAGCACAAAGCTGACATGTTCCAAACTGATCTAATAGAGGAGTAATGACGGACAGAAAACAGGGTGAATGGTAGAAGTGCCCCCCCCACCCCAGATGGTCCACAGAGCACCCAGCTGAGCTGGGCTGCAAGGCCTACTGCCCTCCAGACAAGGCCCCATGGCCTGCCTCCGGGTGCACCTCTTCCTGCCCACCCACTCTCCACCTATGAAAACCCGGTCCGTTCTTCAAATCTGTGAAGACTAGAATACTTTGGGTTGTAGTAGCAGAAAACTGAAAGTGTGTTAAACACTGAGGACCATTGAGGTCAGTGGCACCAGGGCAGATTTATGTAGCAGCTCATTGGTTATATCAGTGGTGATGGTTCTGTTTGTCTTTCCACTTAGCCATGCTCATTTCCTTTTAGGCTGGCCTCCCTCGTAGTCCACGGTGGCTGCTGCAGATCCAGCCATCACAGGATAAGATCTTAGCTTTGATAAGGATCAGTTTTCTCTCTCATGTCTCATTTTAAGAGCAAGGAAAGCTCTCTCAGAATCCCCAAGAGACCTGTCCTTCTGCCTCATTGGCCAGAATTGCATTATGTGCCCATGTTCACACCTGTCCTGCAGGATTCAGCCTGGGCCTGGGCCCGGACTTACATCAGGGAGGCCTGGAGCAAGAAAAGAGTGCGGAATCAGTTAGGCCTGTGCCGAAAACCCTCACCTGGTGCCATTTGCTGGATTTCCCTCCCTCGGAGCCAGCATGTCCTGCCGAGCCCTGTTCTTATGGGCTGGGCACCACAAGACCACCTCTGTGCCAGGCACTGTGCCGGCCATGGAGATTCGAGAGTGGCTGAGACACAGTCTCTCACCTCAGGCAGTTTATGAAAATCAACATGTACAAACAGCCCAGCAATGAGGACAGCCAGGCAGGACCCCGACAGGGGGCGTGGCCTGCAGAGCTCCCCCGCAGAGAGCGCCCTGTGCAGAGGCTGGAGGGAGCGGGGAAGGGAGGTGCTCCTGGCAGAGGGACTGCCGTGGGCACGGGTGCAGAGGTGTAGGAAAGAGCCCGGCAGAGGCAGAACAGTAAGCTGAAGTGGAAAAAAATTAATGATGAGGCCAAAGCCACCATGTCTCAAAGGAACAGAGGACCTTGAATGCCACACCGAGGTGGCTGAAATGAGTCCAGGAGGCAGTGGAGAACCTTTGAACAATTTAAAGCAGGGGGATGAATAGATGTATGAAAGCCCAAACCCTCTGCCTCTGAGCTCCTGGGGAAGCAGGAACACATGACTCATCCCTCTCTGTATCCCCTGCATTGCCCGGCACAGTGCCTCAGTTTCCCCAACCACGAGATGCTTTCAACTCAGGTTTAATCATTTATTAGATTTTTAAAACAATTTGAGAGACTGATGATTTTCTTTAAAAAAAATTAAGAGCTGCAGATTTCCTATTCCCAAGAGTGTTCGGGTGAGGCAAGTCCAGGTGCAAACCAAGGTCAAAGTGATGCTGCGAGTCTCCATCAGCAGAGCAGAGGGATGTCCAGCCTTATAGGCACCAACAGGGGCTGGAGCTTGATTTCCTCGGAATTGGCCCCATTAAAGCTCTATAATTACCAACAAGCGGGTGACAACTCTCAAAGGCCCATTAGTGACCAACGCTCATTATTTTTCCAAGGATGTAAACTTTAGCCAGGACACGTGATTTGAGTGAGTCAAGGGCAGGGCCCCGGGGCTCACACGGACAAGGCCTTCACCTACCCTGAGGGCCCTCCTCACCCAGGCCACAAGCCTAGGGAGCGTCTGCAATTCCGAGGGCCCCCTGCAGGGCATGGCCAAGCCCTCCTGGTCCCCAAGAGCAACTCTGCTTTTCTCTCTTGTTTTCTCCATTGCATTCTCCTGAGATTTCAGCTAAACTAAGTGGTAGACAAAAAAATGTGGAAGTCACTAAGCTTTAAGACAGGAACTATCAGGATGGAAATGAAGAGGCCTCGATTCTTCCCTGGCTGGGTGGTTGAGTTGGTTGGAGCGTCATCCCATGCACCAAAAGGTTTCGGGTTCAATTCCCAGTCAGGGTACACACTTGGGTTGCAGATTTGATCCCCAGTCGGGGCATGTATGAGAGGCAGCCAATCGATGTTTCTATCATTAATGTTTCTCTCTCTCCCTCAAATCAATAAACATATCCTCAGGTGAGGATTAAAAAAAAAGAGGCTTAGATTTTGTGTCCAGCTCTGCTGTGCCACCCTGAACAGGTCACCTGCCCTCTCTGAGCCTCATTTCTCTGAACAGGAAGTGAAGACTTTGGACTGCAATGCCCTAAGAGAGCCCCACCACTGTGAAGTCTCTCAGAATGGTCACTAAGCCCTGGCTGGTCTGGCTCAGCTGGTCACTGTGTCCTCCCGTGGACTTGAAGGTCCGGGGTCCCATTTCCTGTCAGGGCAACATAACCAGATTGCAGGTTCGACCCCCAGTCCGGGCACATGTGGGAGGCGACCAATCGATGTCTCTCACATCGATGTCTCTCTCCCCCACCCCACCCCACCCCAAAGCAATGAAAAAAATGAAAAGAAAAAGTCCTCAGATGACGGTTAAAAAATAATAATAAAAATAAATGGTGACTGAGCTTCTATTTATAAACTATTATTTCTTACAAAACTTTCATTGAAGTTCAAAGAAATTCATCAACCTCACCCCGGGGCGACACTAAGCATGTTATTCCTTCCAGAAAGTGGTAACAGGTGTGAGCTCCACGGAGCCTCAGCCGTCCTCAAACAGGGGAGTCTGGAGACCCAGCGGAAGGGGCTCCCCTCTCCTCCCGGAGCTGTTTCCCCGTGGGAGGCCGATGGTGCCTCCAGCGCCCTGGCTTGTCCTTCTCTGGGATTAGGAAGCAGGCAGAGATCGTGGAGTGTGCATTTTAACATGCAGGCATCACGCGAAGAGCAGCGGGAGGGAGGTTGGTTTGCAGGGACCGGCCACGTGAGCTGAACATCTGCTCTTTGCTGGTGTCCCAGGTGCGGCTGAGGCTCGGCCCCTGCTCCCCGGAGGCTAATATCTGGGAGCAGCAAGGCTAGGCCTGAACTGAACAGCAGAGTGATGGCCTGTCGTGCGAAGCCAACAGCTTTGGAGAATATTATTACAAAAGCATAGACCTGAAGAACGTTGGGCCCGAGTATAGTTTTAGAGGTATGGCGATATATACCTCACCTAGAGCGCCCTCACCTGCCCACCTGCGCGGGGAGCTAGGAATACAGGCAGAAAAAGGCTAGAGACAGCCTTAAAGTAACAGTGTTTTCAGAAAAAAAAAATGTTCCCCTAGGCTCCTCCGCTCAAGGCCTGTTGACTCCTAATTGGCCACAATTCTAACAAGTATTCTCACTTGGTTTCACGGAATAAACAAGTAAGTGTTGAATGGGAGGGAGCCGGTCTGTGCTGGGAGATGCAGGGCCTCCGACAGGAGTTCCCAGCTGACAGCAAAGCAGGAGGCAGAGAATGAGGAAAACCAGGGGTCGCCTGGTGGGGGAACCGCCTCGCACCCCGTTCCCGGTCTGTGCCAGGGCTGCGCCCCAGAGCAGTAGTTGTCGTCATAGCGATGACTCAGGTTACCCAGAAAAGTGTAGGTGACGGCTGCCTGTGCGACTCACAAAGCCTGGGAGGGGAGTGATCCAGTTTGGAGCGAGTTCATTCCGGAAGGTGTCTCAGAGGGGCAAGTACAGTTATCTGGAAAAGTCACCGAAATGGATCTGCTCCTTCTATAATTATCTCCCTAGCACTTTCTGTACTGCGGGCGTGTTTTACAGCACGATGCTGTGACGTGGGTGCTCCAGCGCCTCCATCTTGTGGAGGAAACTGAGGCAGGAAGAGGCTAGGTAAGCTGCTAGAGGTCACACAGCAAGGAAGTACAGAGTCGGGATCTGAACCCAGGGTCATGTGCCCCCCAGGCAAAGACAGACGTGGGCCGTGGGCCTTGTCCAGTGTTAGAAGTTGGGGAGAAGACACAGATGACGCACCATCACTTTGGAATGAAGGGCAGGTCCAGTGCCCCGGCTGTGATTTGCCTGCTTCTCTGCAGCCCCAAAATTTTGCCAGGCCTGGGCCCCCATATGAACCCGGGATCTGCAGGCAGTGTGGTCCCTGTGACAACCTCTCAGCTCCGCCGCCGTTGTCACAGTGAGAAGGCATCTGTAGTTCAGACCTGAACAGGTGGGTGCGGCTAGGCCCTTGGTGGGTGTGGCCCTCCCCCACCATCACTCTGCCACTCCGTCCCCCACCCTCTTGTTGGCCTGTGATTGGATGCCCCTTCCCCAGCCCCACTGTGCAATGGCCAACTCCTACTCAGCCTTCAGGCATCACCTCCTCCAGGAAGCCTTCCCTGAGGGCTGCAATCAATTCACATCAAGACCAGGCACCCCTGTCACTCCTGGTCCACCAGACTCTGTTATGGCAAATTCTTTTCATCTGTTACTCCCATTGAGCTGTGCTTTTCTTGGAGCCAAAATAAGCCTTATTATCTTCATCCCTAGAGTCTGCATATGACAGACATTTGGTAAGGAATGAACGAATGAATGAAGTAGATACCAGTTGACCAGCCCAGGAGGCTTCAAGCAGGATCTGGGCTTCCAAAGACCTCCTGCAAGTGCGCACTTGCTGTCTGGAGACTCGCCCCGGGTCCGCCCCCACCATAGGTCCCCCAGGTCCGTCCTCATCTTCATGCCTGGAGCCACGTCCACACTGGAGGCCACAGCTGCCATGTGTGATTGCCCCCGAGGGTGGCAGCTGCACCCAGTTATCGCTGCATTTCCTGCCTAGCCCTTGGGAATCCCCCACTGCCCTTAGGAGGCTTGGTGGTAACAGCACAAGGACTCAGCTGGCTCTGCAGAGCCCGCCCAGGCCCTGGAGGGACCGGACACCCGGGAGCTGCACCCCGTGTGTTGCTGGGAGGTGGGTGAGGGGAACAGCCAGTCAGCCTGCCAGGCCTGCAGCCTGGCAAAGCCTCGTCTCTTCTGCCTTCTCACACACCCCTTGTGACAGCTAACACATGAGGAGAACTAGACTGAGGCCCAGAGTGTCGGGCGCTCGTGGAGGGCGGGACAGGACAGCACTCCTTCAGCCCAGCACCCGGTACACATGTGGGTGCTGCGCTGGGCTGGCCTCGGGGTCGGCAGCACAGCCCAGGTCCTCAGGGCCTTGGTCTCCCTCTTGGGCCTCCACTCACAGGGACGGGGGAGCCACTGACCTAGCCTCTCTGAGCCTCAGCCCTTCATCCAGAAAGTGGGAACAATACTGCTCACTTCCCAGGCTTGGGAAGCTGGGTGGAGGGACGGACGTGCCTTGCTGGTGGCAGTCACTGTGGCACCGGCACCCTGTCAGACCTCACAGAGCTGGGTGACGCTTCTCCACCGTGCAGCTGATGCATGACCTGAGCCCCCCTTTGTCCGCAGCCGCCCTGGGCACACTGGACTTCAGCCTCCTCTACGACCAGGAGAACAACGCCCTGCACTGCACCATCAGCAAGGCCAAGGTAGGCCCCGGGGCCCTCCATCCCCAGGCCTGGGTCCTGGAGGCGGGGCTCAGGGCGGCAGGCAAGTCCCCCTGCCCCGCCCATTCCCTGGTGTGTGGCTGTGTGGGAGCAGGGCCCGGAGGGGATTTTCACCTAAATCGTCTCAGCTGCTCTAAAAAGCCCTAAAAAGACAGAAGTGTGGGGGAAGGGGCAGAATCGTAGAGAGAGGAGGGGAACTAGAGTTTGGAGGCCTGGGAGGGGCATTCAGGGGACTGAGGCACCTGAGGTGGCACAGGGCTGTTGAGCCAAGGAAGGGTGCCACTGTCCCACTCTGGACACTGAGGCCATTCCGGGCAGGACAGTCATCTTCTGGACTCAGGGCCAGGCTGGCACAAGCCAGCGCTGTGTTCTCAGCCGCACTGTTCCCTGCCTGCCCCCCTGCATCGCTCCCTCGGGGAGGAAGGTGCCCAAGCTGATGTTCTCTCGAAAGGTAAGGACTGCGGTGCAGCCTCATAGGACCTCTCAGTAGAGTTGTAGAAGGGCCTGGGCCCCCCAGAGAGTCCCTGTACCCCCCACAGTCCCCCAGCCTGCGAGCTTCTCTGCCCTCCCTCCCACCCACCGGAGGGGCAGGTTGCCTGCCACTGCCCCACCTGGGCCCCTCCCAGCTGGGCCCACCACCGGACTGCCAGGGAAGGGACGAGGGTCGTCCCACGTAGAGGCCTGCACCCTCCATCCCGACCCCCACCCTGTCTCTGGGAGCTGTTTGGGCAGCGATGTGGAGCACGCCAGGCCTGGCACAGCCGGGGCCCCGGACCTGCCCCGGGTACGGGCGGAGAACCCGGTGACCTGCAGCTACGCCAAGGTAGAGGGCAGATGGCAAAGCGCAAACATACCAGCTTTCTACAGGGCACTCGGGTATGGGGACAGAATGGACATGGCTGCCCAGTCACTCTGACCAGAGCCATCCCTTCTCCCCACCCCAGACACAGGGCCCTCTGGTGCTATATGCCCCGCCTTCCCGACCCTCGCCCCAGAGGGCCTGTTCAGGTGTAGTGGGGTGCAGATGTGTGTGTGTGTACAGGTCTCTGGGCACCTGTGTGTGCACACATGTGTGTGTTCACTTAGGGGAGTGTCACTTGAGGCATTTGAGGTGGGGGATGTGAGGACCCCGAGCCATGGCAGCTCCCCTGTTCTCCAGGTCATTAGCTGCTTAGATCCAGTTCCACAGAGCAGGGGGTGGCACAGGCATGAGAGGAGCCCCCCGGCGCAGAAAGCTGAGGGAGGGCTGACAGGCAGAGCCCCTCAGGGGACTCTGGGAGGAGGCCAGATGCCCGGGCACCAGACCCTGGTTTGGCCACCTTCTCCTGGGTAAGCGAAGCAGCCTCAGTTTGCTCACCTGTGACCCAGGGTTAGCCATCCCCATCAATTCGGTGGCCATGAGCATCAGATGATCGAGTACCGGATGCCACCCTGGGACACCGTGCCAGGTGGCAGGCACCCCCCCAGGTGCACATAGACGCGAGGGCCACAGAGGAGTTACAAAAACCGGCAGACCCCCAGTCTGGGCACTTCAAGGGAGCAGGCAAGAGGCCCGAGTTCGGAAGGGCTGCCTCACTGCCGTGGCCGTGGCGGCGCACGAAGCGCCTCTGAGCCGAGCCTTGTCCAGAGTGCCCCCCCCGCAGACAGCGCAGAGCTCAAATGCCCCTCCCCTGCCCTCAGCCACTTCCGCTTCTTTCCAGGGAGCTAGCGTGTAGAAAAAGGGGAGCGAAGCCCTGCTGTCCAGGCCCTGGGTCAGCATTGCCTCACTCGCACTCCAGCCCTAGGAAGTGTGACTGTTAACCCCTTTTGCAGATGGTGAAGCTGAGGCTCAGGAAACCAAGGAACTCCTTCCCTTACCCAACTCGCAAGTGCGGGAGCTGCCTGGCCGGGCCAGCATGGCTCTGAACCCTGTGCGCCCCTCACAGAGGCAGAACAGTGGGTGGTTGGAGGTGCCCACCTGGGGGCTCCTTTAAACCGAGGTGAGGGCAGGGGCAGGAGATGAGCCTTATCTCCCCTGGGCGGTGGGCCTGGTCACAGACAGCCGACCAGCTCACCTCTGAGTGACGCCATGGGTGGTCAGCTCGGCTTACACACGCCACGGCTGCCTCCCTACATCCCTGTGCACCATTGCGTAAAGAAAAGGTACGATTTTCAGAAACAAGAGCAAGCAGGCAGGTCAGCTAAGCCCTGTCTGTGTATGAGTCTGCAGGTTGCCTGGCTGGGCACACCGATTGTTCCGAAAGTGAGGGATGCCACCTTGTGGAGGGACCCTCCGAGGCCACCAGCCAGCTGTGCGGCCTCCACAGGTGCAGCCGGGCCGGGCACTGTGGCAGATCCGGGGGGAAACTGAGCCTGGTGTCCAGGACACAGACCATTTTCCACAGCTGCAGAGGCCACATGCGGACGGGTGGACAGGTGGTCCTGTGGGTTTGGGGTCAGTGAGGGAAGTTTTGTTTGGAGGGTTCCGGGAAGGGATACAGGAAGAAGGAAGGGCCTGACCAAAGCTGGGTAATGAAGGCCTCATTCAGAGAAAGGTGAGTCGCCTGGCCCCCACAGTAAGGAGAAGAGGAAGAGAAAGGCTGCTCGGACAGACATCCCATGCCTGCCCGGGGTTGGGACAGTCGCGAGAGGGAGACTATGACAGCACTGAGCCCCCTCACTGCCCCTTCTCAGAGTGCGATGCCAGGGGGCTTCTGTGAAGAGGGTCATGAACGACTGAGCCAGGTAGCCTAGGGAACAGGGGTACCTGATGACCCGGGCACCTGGAGGCCCTGGCAGCTCCGCGTCCCCGACACCCAGTTCACAGCCTTCACTGTTCTCCTCTGCTCAGGGCCTGAAGCCGATGGACCACAACGGGCTGGCAGACCCCTATGTCAAGCTGCACCTGCTGCCCGGAGCCAGTAAGGTGAGGGGGTCTGCCCGCTGTGACAGGGTCCAGGCTGGGCTTGGGACACCCGGGGAGGCCCGTAGCTCTCACACCCACCTCAGAGCCCAAGCAAGCTGATGGGACCACAACCATTCAGCTCCACCCGAGCACCCGGTCAGTCCCACACCCTCGGGACCTCCCAGGGACCTAAGGGTCAGCACCGCCTGCCTGCTGAGCTGGCAAAACTCTTAAGAATTTCCAGGCCAGCATTTCACAAGGAGCAATCTTAGCTGGAGATTAACATTATGGTTTTAAAAAGGGTTCTGCTTTGGTTGGGTTGCACAGTGGGTTGGAGCATCGTCCTGTACACCAAGAGGTTGCAGGTTCAATTCTGGGTCAGAGCACATACAGGACGCAACCAATCCATGTTTCTGTCTCTCTCTTTCTCCCTCCCCGCTTTCCTCTCTCTCTAAAGTCAATAAAAACGTATCCTACCCTGGCTGGTGTGGCTCAGTGGATTGAGCACTGGCCTATGAACCAAAGGGCCACCAGTTTGATTCCCATCTAGAGCACATGCCTGGGTTGTGGGCCAGGTCCCCAGTAGGGGGCGCGCAAGGGGCAGCCACATGTTTCTCTCCCTCTCTTTAAATCTCTCTCTTCTCCTCCCTTCCCCTCTCTAAAAATAAATAAATACACTCTTTAAAAAAAAACATATCCTGGGGTAAAAATTAAAAATAAATAAATCAAAGGGTTCTGTGGTTGGAAAACATTGTTAACCAGGTTTCTTCACTGCAGGCCTTGTCAGAGCCTCTAACGTGCTGGTGGCCTGCTCTGTGATAGTCCAAGGGGCTCGGTGGACCGCGCCTGCCCAGTCTGTCCCCAGAACCCATGTTCCCCTGCCAGACGACCCAGCAGGCAGACCGAGCACATGGGCATCTGGGAAAAGAGAGGAAAAGTTTAGTGCAATGGGCTATGAAACAACAGCCCCGAGGTGACAGCCCCGGAAGATCAACTACACAGACGTCCTCTCACGTGCCTTACAGCTCCGCGTTGTTTCCTTTTACATTTCACGGAGGGAAGGTCACATCCGCTTCTCAGATCTGGGTCTTGCCCCTGCCCTGGGGCCCACAGACATCTCAAGGGGTGAGCTGTGCAGACTCCATGTCCAGGGAGGACTTGACTGCCAACCAGCAGTTTTGTTTCCAGTGGAGACCAGTGGGAACCCAGGGGACACGGGAGTGTGAGCAGCACGGCCCTGCGACCGCATCCTCGTCCTGGCCCCTTCCTCTGAGGTCGGGAGGGAGGGAATCCCTTCGGGGGCCCTCAAGTGGCCTGAAAGGGAGGAAGGGCCCTTCTTAGGAGCGCCCTCTGGGCAGAGCGCCTCCCTGGCATCGAGGGAGTCTCCTGGGCCAGCTGGGTGTCCTGCCCGCAGCTGAGTAGCCACGGGCTGTGGGGCCTGAGCCGACGCTGAGGCTCAAACCCTCGGACCAGGGTGCAGGGCCGAGGCTCACCCCCACCCAGAAGAACCACTCAAAGTCTGGGAGGGCAGGGCCATAGGAGAATGACGGTAGCCCTGCAGTGCAGGGCTCCCCGCTGCAGGGATCCACATCATCCTGCTGCCCGTGGAACTTGCCGGGCTGAAGGCCTTGGGACCAGGGGACGTGCCCCGCTCAGGAGCTCAGGGACCAGAGTCCCTAGACTCCTGGGACCTAGAACGGCAGTGCCTGGAGTCTGAGTTGTGGGGGTGCCCACGGGATTTTCCAAACGGGCATTTTACAAAGTCTCCTGCTGAGGCAGTTCCCTGAAAGCAGTGCTGCCAGAGGGCTGCCGTCGTGTGCCTTCCTCACGGTGCGGAGCCTGGCACAGAGGGCAGCAAGGCACCGAGTTCCACAGCTTCTGTGGGGGCTGGGGCTGGGCTTTGAACCCAGGCCCATCTGACCCCAGCCTGGGCCTGGCATGGCAGGACCCAGATCCGCAGAAGCACAGAGGAAGGTGTGGAGGTGCCGCAGCAGCTTGGGCGGGCCACCCCACGGCCATCTCCAGGGAGGGTGACATTCCAGGCCGAGGGCACAGCCAGGCAAAGGCGAGGAGGTGTGAGGGAGACAGTCCAGTCCAACAGGGTTCCCAGCAGCCCCCACCCAGCCCCAGTCTCCTGCAGAACCCACCCCACACACGCAACCTCCACACACACCCACACCCACACCACCTCCACACACACCCACAAACACCACCTCCACACACCCACACACACCCACACCCACACACACCACCTCCACACACACCCATAAACACCACCTCCACACACCCACACACACCACCTCCACACATACCACCTCCACACACCCACACACACCACCTTCACACACACCACCCACACACACCCACATACACACCACCTCCACACATACCACCTCCACACACCCCCACACACACCACCTCCACACACACCCACACACACACCACCTCCACACACCCACACACACCACCTCCACACACACCCACACACACCACCTCCACACACCCACACACACCCACACACACCACCTTCACACACACCACCTCCACACCCCCACACACCACCTCCACACACCCACACACACCACCTCCACACACACCCACACACACACCACCTCCACACACCCACACACACCACCTCCACACACACATACCACCTCCACACACACCCACCACCTCCACAAACACCCACACACACCACCACCTCCACACACACCCACACACACACTACCACCTCCACACACACCCACACACACACCACCTCCACACACCCACACACACCACCTCCACACACACATACCACCTCCACCCACACACACCACCTCCACACACACCCACCACCTCCACAAACACCCACACACATACCACCTCCACACACCCCCACACACACCACCTCCACACACACCCACACACACACCACCTCCACACACCCACACACACCACCTCCACACACACCCACACACACCACCTCCACACACCCACACACACCCACACACACCACCTTCACACACACCACCTCCACACACCCACACACACCACCTCCACACACCCACACACACCACCTCCACACACACCCACACACATACCACCTCCACACACCCACACACACCACCTCCACACACACATACCACCTCCACCCACACACACCACCTCCACACACACCCACCACCTCCACAAACACCCACACACATACCACCTCCACACACACCCACACACACCACCTCCACACACACACCAGGGCAGGAAGCCTCCTGTCTGAGGGCCCTAGGTCTGCAGGAACAGCTTGTACCGCCAACCACACAAATTTCTTACCTTCCAGTTCTGTAGCTTAGAAGTCTGACATAGCCCCCACTGGGCTAAACCCAAGTGTCAGGGGCTGCAGTCCCTTCTGGAGGAAGGGACCATCCCGTGGAGGAGCCGTTTCCCATACCTCTCCAGTGGCCAGAGGCCGCCCCTCTCCCATCTTCAGCAGAGCGTGCCTCACTGCTTCCTCCCTCCCTCCCAGCTCCCCCCCCCCCCCCCGCCCCCTGCCCCCCCTCCCCTTCCGCCTTCAAGGACCTGGTGATTGCACTGGACCCACCCAGATCGCCTAGATAACCCCCCTGTTTTATTTATTTATTTTATTTATTATTATTATTATTTTTTTTTTACCAAGCAGTAAATTAGTTTATTCGGGAATAGCAGGAGAATTGCAGTCTGGGACTTGCAGACTGTGGCAGACCACAGCAGTACAAAGAAACAAGGGAGGTCAGTTTGGGGGGTTCTTAGAGGGTATTGGGGAGGGCTGTTTTAGCAGAAGCACATCAGCTGGGGGGGCAGTGGACAAGGTTGTGGCAATTTCTTTTTTTTTAATAATGATTGTTTTTTTATTTAATTTTATTTTAATCCCCCTGTTTTAAAGGCAGCTGGTTAAAGACCTTAACTCCCCTTTTACTCCTCACAGGTTGGGGGGTGAGGGCATGGTCTTCTTCGGGGGCCATTATTCCGCCCACACCCCGCACGCCTTCATGCTCATGGGATCGTTTCTGCTCTCTCCAGGCGAATAAGCTTAGAACAAAAACCCTCCGAAACACTCTGAACCCCACGTGGAACGAGACCCTCACTTACTACGGAATCACGGACGAAGACATGATTCGGAAGACCCTGCGGTGGGTGAGGGCCCCGGGCAGTGGGCTCCCCCCAACCGCGCCTGCCCCCGCCTTACCCACTCCTCACTCGCCGGGAGCCAGCCCCCACCGACCGCCCGGCGTGTCTGAGAGCTGGCCTTGCCCTTGACCTCCAGGATCTCCGTGTGTGATGAGGACAAATTCCGCCACAATGAGTTCATCGGGGAGACGCGAGTGCCCCTGAAAAAGCTGAAGCCCAACCACACCAAGACGTTCAGCATCTGCCTGGAGAAGCAGCTGCCGGTGAGTGGGCCCTCCCGGCCGGGAGCTTGGGGCCAGCCCCATTGATTGAGCACCTTCTCTGTGCCTGGCATGGCTGCAGGCGCTGGGGAGATAAGAATCCCTGCCCCCATGGAACTTCAGCAGGAGGCAGACCCCAGACGGGTTACCATCACTCATTTGGATCCCGTGTCACAGTGATCAAGGCCAAGAAGGACAGCACGGGAGGGGCTGAGGGTTTGGATGTAGGGCAGGGAGACGGACTCCCGGAACTGGAGTATTCCAGGCGGAGGGAACAGCAGGTGCAAAGCCCTGTATGACAAGTGCCCGGCCCGCTGGAGGCACAGGCGAGAAGCCCACTCCGTGCAGCAGAGAAAAAGAGGGGAGGGTGTCCTAGGGGTTGAGAGCAGAGGTTGGGGGTGGGGAAGCTGGGAAGGACTCAGGCCTTCACCCTGACCGAGATGGGCTAGGTGAGGGCTAGGGCAGCCAACTACATCCTTACCGGGGTCCCTGGGGTCAGAACGGCAGACAGGAGGGTGGGAGCAGGGAGAGCGGTGAGGAGGCGGAGAGCCTGGGGCGGGCCGGGCGGGTGCAGCAGTGCCTGGGCGAGTGTGCCCGGGCAGATCCGTGTCCCTGCTCCTGGAGGTGAGAGTCATTAACTGGGAAGCAGAGGACCTTGGGAGGAGCATCTGGGGACACGGGAACTCAACCGGAACATGTCAGGCATGAGGTGCCTGTGAGGTACCCAGAGGAGACAAAATAATTCTTTCCTAGAAATTGCAACTGTTTGAAAATGTCAAAGCCAATTCTGCCCCCTGGCCGGCCACAACAGCTGAGCCCTCCCAGAGCCTCGGTCCTGTCACCCCTCAGCCCTCCCCTCCGGCGGAGGCCTCACCTTCGCCCAGTTCACGGGCTGTGGGGTTTGGCCAGGAGGCCCCAGGGTCCTAAGAAACCATGACCTTCTCACAGACTAGTGCCCAGGATACAACCCCCTTCCTGGAACAGTGCCCCCAAAAGCCTGGACAAGGGGAAAGCGATGCAGGACAGAGGCCATTGGCTGTGCCCCACACGTGGGGCCTGAGCTCTGGGACGGATGGCCAAGCCCTGGGAACAAGTGGCCCGGAGGCCAGAGGTCCCTGCCAGAATCCTAGCTCTGTGTTCTTGCATAACCTGATCAAACGTTATCTCCTTGTCATGTTCTCTCCCACTCACAGACATTTGTATGATGGGCATGACCTTTTTTGTTTTATTACTAGTCACTAACCACAGGTAACTCAGTTTTCCCAAATGATCTATGTCACTTATAAAAGGCAACATCAACTGCTACTGTACTTGTGTGCCTGGGATTTGATCCTCAGCATAAAGAAGCACCTGCGTGTGGGGGTGCACGTGTGAGCCGTGTATGAGAGCACTGTGAGTGTGTGCAAGCATGTACCTGCACGTGCATGAGTGTACACATGTGGGCACACTGGAGTGTGTGGACTGCATGTGTGAGGGGTGTTTGTGCGCATGGATGAGTGAGGGTGTGTGTGCCTGCACTCAGGGTGTGACTGGGGTTCTGCTGGGGGCTTGTTAGTCTGGTTTCAGGGACACGAGGTCACCGCGGGAATGGACCGCTCTGGCCGTGAAAACACGTTTTGATGCTGCAGGTTATATTTGACGTCATCTGAGAACTGATCTGTTCTCAGTAAATACTGAGCAATAAACCAGCTTAATGGGCTTTATGTGAAATGACCCAAAGCACTTATATGAATCCCCCCGAAAAATAGATGAATATATCCATGCTCATTTATTTTGTTTAATTTTCACACATCACACAAACTAGCACAAGAGCCGTGGTTCAGTGCGGCCCAAGGCCAGAGGGGCGCACAGGTGACTCGCAGCACCTGGCCGGTCCACACCCCCAGGCTGCCTGAACACTGTTGAGAAGGACGCTGAGGCTGCATCTGAGCTCCGGGTGTGTGCTGCGATCACTTAGCCATGTCTGCTCTGGGTGCGGGAGTTGGGGAATGCGATCCTTCCTTCACCTCACAGGAGCCCCATCTCCAAGGAAGTGTGGGCACGGCCCCTGCCAACGAGGGCCCATGCGGGGCCTCCCCTTAGCCATTGGCAGAGTCCAGTTGTGGGCAAGGGGCCATGGCTGAGGCTCTGTGGGGGAGGGGCCTGGCAGAGGGACCCTTGGGAGCCCCGGGGCTCCAGCTGGGTGTGTCTGGTGGACAGAGGGTGCAGGAGAAGGGTCCATGTGAGCAGCAGCCAGTGTGGGAACGGCTGCTCTCAAGAGGGTGAGGAGCGGAGAAGCATCGGGCTGGCAGCGGCGGGGAAGCCAGACAGCGCTGCCCAGAGCTGAGGTCTGATCCCAGAGGTGGGCACAGGCCTGGGTGGCCTCCACCGGCCTCCCAGCTCTCCCTGGGCTTGGGAATGTGTCAAAGCTTTGCCTTCCATGTTCTCCCCAAGGGGAACGCCCTGAACCCTGAGAGGCTCCAGGAAGCACCCGCTCCATTTGTGCTGGGCCCGTGGGTGGCCTTGGCGGCCCGTGGCTGAGGGAAGGGATGGGAGCAGGGGAGCACAGCCCAGTGACTGCCCGCCCCACAGGTGGACAAGACGGAGGACAAGTCCCTGGAGGAGCGGGGCCGCATCCTCATCTCCCTCAAGTATAGCTCGCAGAAGCAGGGCCTGCTGGTCGGCATCGTGCGCTGTGCACACCTGGCCGCCATGGACGCCAACGGCTACTCGGATCCCTACGTGAAAACGTGAGTGTGCAGCCCAGCCAGCCACGTCCTTCTCCATTTATCTCAGGGGACAGGAGGCCCGTGCGACAAGGTGGGTAGTTAGTGGGGCCAACACAGAGGGCGCACCTGAAGCACGGTGGGCACAGTGCCAGAGGCCAAGTTCCTCCTGCTCCTCTGGCGACTCCATGGGTTAAGTCTACCCAGCCCCACTTCACAGATGAGGAAGCTGAGGCCTGTGGAAGCTGAATGGCTTCCCAGGGTCACATAGAGTAGTCATCTCCTGATGCCCCACTTAGCTTCCCCATGACCACATGGCCCAGGAGGGGCAGATTGCAGGAGGGGGCAGCCCGTGCCAAGAGGCTGGGAGATCCGGTGAAGGAACTGCACAGTGGACCTGGTGCTGCCCACGCCTGCCCGGCCCTGCCGGTGCCCCAGCTGTACACGAGGCCGGGGCTCATGGTGGCGCCGGGGAGACACTAACTCAGGGGCCCTGCAAGGCGACCTGGGCCCCTGAGTCCAAACCTGTGCCCGGAGAGGCTGTGATGCTCTGAGATGCAGGCAGGAGCTGTCGCCCTTCAGGTAGGGGTGGGTGATGCAGGCGTCACGGTGACCGCCATCGGTGCTTTGGGCTGCCCACAAACCAAGGTGGACATTAGTCTGTGTTCACAGTGAGGCTGTCCTGGAGGCTGACATGGGGAGGTGTCTGGCTCCTCTTCGCTCAGAGGAGCAGAGGGGTTGGGACGGGCCCGGCCTGAGGGGCGCTGAGGAGGTCCCGGGGACAGGGGCCACGGGGAGGCCCGTGCTACCACATGGCACGACTCCGCAGCCCCCTTCCCACTGGTCACTTTCATATTTCTGTCACTTTTTAAATGAGATGACAGAAATGGAGCACTTTGGAAAACAGTCTGGCAGTTGCTCAAAGGTTAGGCCTGGAGTTACCGCACAACCTGGCCACCCCGCTGCGTGGCATGTTCCCAAGAGACTGAAAGCAGTGTCCCTGCAAATCGTAGGACATGAACGTTCATAGCAGCATCGTCCACACAGACAAAAGCGGGAGCAGCCTGAATGTCCGCCAGCTGCTGAACCAACAAAACGTGGCCTACTCACACGGTGGGACCTCGCTTGGCTGTGAGGAGGAGTGAAACGCCGATTCACACTGCCGCACGGATGAACCTTATAAACGTGATGCTGAGTGAGAGAAGCCGGTCGCAAAGGCCACCTACGGCACGGCTCCATTTACACGGCGTGTCTAGAACAGGCAAACCACAGCAACAGAAAGCAGACCAGCAGTTGCCGAGGGCCGGGGAGCTTGGGGAGATGGGGATGACCGAGGCGATGGGGGCTGGAAACATTGAGGGACCGAGGCGGTGACTCTGGGAACGGCCTGGAAACCATCGAATTGTGTGCACGCGAGCAGGACACCTAGCACGGCACGTGAATCGCATCTCAAGAAAGCTGTGACTCTTTTCAAGTCCAATGCCACCAGGCTCCAGGGGCAGCACCAGGTATAATGGGGTGCTGACCAGGACCCCTGGGGAAGGCCAGGGGCTACTCATTTTCCACATAGAAAACAACAAGGAATTGGGCCCTAATGTCAACCGTTAGCAAAACACGATGTCCCATGGATCAGAGAGCCCCGAGCGGGGAAGTGCTGTGACCAGTCAGAAGACAGACAGGACGCTCTGGGACCCCTGGTGGGAAGGTCAGCAATTCCAGTAAAGCAGGAAGCGGTTGCGGCCCGTGGCTGCGTCGTTTCCTTCTTCGTGCCCTAGAAACCCACGCCTGGTGGAGGCCGTCACCGCAGCCTTGCTCCTCACAGTGACAGCCGGCCAAAGCCCAGCACGGTCGGCTGAGGCTCCGCTTCACAGCGCTCGGCGTGAGCACAGAGTAGGCACCGAGCAGTTAAAAACGAGTTCTTAGGACTACCAGGGTCAGCGTGGACAGCTGTCCAAAACAGGCTAAGCCCAAACGCAGACCGCAGAATGGTGTGCGCAGTGTCATGCCATTTCTGGCCATTTTTTACATTTTTTCTCCTCACCTGAGGACACGCTCATTGATTTTAGAGGTGGGGGAAGGGGGGGGGAGAGAGGGAGAGGAATGTCAGTCGGTTGCCTCTTGCACACACCCTGACTGGAGATCGAACCCGAAACCCAGGCGTATGCCCCGACTGGGAATTGAACCAGCAACCTCGCGGTTCACAGGACAACACTCCAACTGAATCACATCAGCCCCAGCCCCAGGGGAGGTCTGAGGAGGAGAGAAGGGGAAGGGACCGGAAAGGGGAGCGGGGCGCGACCACCTGTACTGGTAATGCTGGAGTTCAGGCTGAAGCTAAACGCTGTGATGCTTTCAAGTCAGGCTCGGTGGCCACTCGCCAGGTTGGCAGGAACTCCGGGGTCCTCCGCTGGGTCCTCCAGGAAGCAAGGTCCCACCTGACACAACAGAGCTGGAGCAGGTCGCCCCGTGGCTGGACCTGTGCCCCGAGAGAGGGCACCTGTGAACTGAGATTCGGCCAGGGACGCGCCAGGTGCAGGTGCAGAGCGAGACGGACGGAGGCCTTCTGTCAGCACCTCATTTTCTACACCTCGTCCCGGATGACACGTGCCTCGGTTTCCCCAGGCTGAAACTGACCCCTGATCCAGCTTTTCGGAGTAGGAGGGACAGACAGCACTGGCACCGTGCTGGTAACACCCGTCACTGCCGTGTGTGCTGAGGAGCTGCGGTGTGTGGGCCTCGCCCGACCCTCCCGGGGCCCCTGCACTGTCACAGCCTCACTATCTCCTCACGACACCTGGGCGACGGAGGGAGCTCAGGTGACTCACGAGTCCTGCTGGCCAGTGCAGGAGGGGGTCCTGAGGGCCAGGGAGGGACAGAGACCAGTGGGTGGCCAGGCTCTGGGGCTTTGCCAGGCCTGCTCCTGGCCCGTGCAGGTTGTACTCGGGGGGCTCACTAGTGCGGAGGAGAGCTCCCGGCAGGGGGGTCAGCATGGGCTGGAGGCAGGACAGAGGACGACCCCTAGGGGAGCTGTTCCTGCTAGAGGCCCTGAGGCTGGTGGCCACCAGGGGAACCCATGGAGGGGTCACTAGGTAGACACGGCCATGCAGCATTGAGGACGTAGGGATCCTGGAACAGCTGTCCTTCAGGGGACTCCCAAAGGGAGGGGCACAGAGCACCCACTGGGTGGGGCTCCCCCAGCCTTTCTCCTCACACCCAAAGCAAAGAGGCAGAGGACAGTTCAGAAAACGAAGCACCGATAAACAGCCGAAAGGTCAAACAAGCGTATGGAAGCTTGTAAGGAGCTGAAGACATTCACCATGTCTGGGCGGGGCATTTAAGGGAAACCCCAGCTTCAGAAATCAGGCATCTGGAAGCATACTTCATATGCAGCAAGCGTGAGCCACCACCACCACAGCCAAGACATAGACTGCTGCCGTCTCAGAGTTTCCCCAGCCTCAGGCAACCGCTGGTGTGTTTTCTGCCCCAGTAATGTTTCCATTTCCAGCATTTCCCACCGAGGCTGTCGTGCAACGCGCCAGCTTTTGAGTCTAGCTTCTTCCGCGGGCACAGTGCATTGGAGACTCCGCCAGGCGGGCGCACGGGCCGGCAGCTTGGTCTTTCTTGTCTCACAGCCGTCCATTGGACAGGCCGCCCGCAATGATGCATCGGTTCACCCGCCAGAGGGCCCGTGGTCTGTTTCCAGTTTGGGGGTGACTTTGCGTGACGCTGCCAGAGGACAGGGTTTGTGTGGACACACGTCTTCATTTCTTTCCCCCACCCCCAGCTTTTATCAATACGTATTTTGTAGAGTTTCGATAATGAACCAGTATTATTTATGCAATAAAGTCACAACCCCAAAACTAATAAGTGCAAAGTAAAGCAACAATCAGGTAGCACTTTCTGCCTTTCAAACTAGCGAGGAATTTTTATTAAGTTTGCTGGAGTAACTGACACTGGGTAGTAACATTATACTCATTCCGGGTGTGCGACTTTATAACATGGTGCGTTCACTCCGTTGCGTGCTCCCCACCTGAAGTATCGTCTCCTTGCCTTCCGTCACCTTCTGATTTAACCCCGTTCCCCTCTGATACCCACCAGTCTGTTGCACCTGTGCGTTTGTTTGTTCACCTGTCGCTTTCTGTTTCCTGTCCCACATGTGAGTGAAATCACGCCGCTCTTGCTTTTACCTTATGACTCATTTCACTCAGCACAGTACTCACAGCAGCCTTCCGTGTTGTCATGAACGGCGATATTTCATCTTTTCTCTCTTTTATGGCTGAGTAGTATTCCATTTTATATATACACACACACACATATGTATATATACACACACATATACCTTTTTAAAAAAGATTTTATCTTTTTTAATTTTTATTTTTTTAAATATTTTTAATTTAATTATTGTTCAAGTACAGTTTTCTGTCTTTTTCTCCCATCCCAGCCCCCCCAGTGCGCTCCACCTCCCTCCTATTTCCACCCCCCCCTTAGTTTTTGTCCATGTGTCCTCTATACTTGTACCTGTTTATTTATCTTGAGAGGGGAAGGGAAGGAGAGAGGGAGAGAAACATCAATATGTGGTTGCCTCTCGTGCGTCCCCTGCTGGGAACTGGCCTGCAACCCAGCCATGTGCCCTGACTGGGAATTGAACTGCGGTTGTTTGGTTCCCAGGCCCACGCTCAATCCACTGAGCTACACCAGCCTTTATATCAAATATGCTTTATCTAGTCATCCACCAAAGGACATTTAGGTTGTTTCCACATCTTGGCTTTTGTATATAATGCTGCAGTGCACACAGGATATGCATCTTTACAGATACGCGTTTTCAAGTTTGGGGGCGGATGCCCAGAAGAGGCATTGCTGGGCCGCGTAGCTTCGCCTTTAATTGTGGGAGGAGCCCCCGCACCGCTGTCTCAGAGGCTGCACCAGTTACGGTCCCAGCAGCAGCGCACACCCACCGGTTCCCTCTGCTCTACATCCTCCCAAAACGCTTGCCGTCTTGTGCATGACGGCCGCTCCAACGGGGGGAGCTGGCGTCTCGCGTGGTTTTCATTTTCATTTCCCGATTAGTGACATTGAGCATGAACATACATCTGTGTGTCTTCCTTGGAAAAATGTCTATTCAGATCCTCTGCCCATTTTTTAATCTGAGTGTTTGTGTTTTTTTGTTGAATTGTGTGAGCTCTTTATATATTTTAGATATTAGGCCCTTCTTTGCGGGCATCATTTCCAAATACCTTCTTCCATTCAGCTGTTCGCCGTTTAGTTTTGTTGATGGGTTCTTCGCTGTGCAGACGCTTTTGGTTGGATATGGTCCCATTTGTTCGTTTTTACTTTTACTTCCCTTTCCTTTGGGGTCAAGTTCACAAAAACCCCTCTGAGACCAAAGTCCGTAAGTTTAGGGCCTGTGTTTTCTTCCATGTATTTTATTGTTTCAGGTTTTATATTCAAGTCTTTAGTCCATTTTTAATTAATTTTCATGTATGGTATCAGATACGTCTAATTTCGTTCCTTTGCATGTGAGTTTCCAGTTTTTTCAACACCATTTATTGAAGAGACTTTCCTCTGTATGTTTGTGGCTATTTTTTCAAAACCAAGTTGCCCATATACATGTGGCTTTATTTCTGGGCTCTCAGTTCTGTTCCATTGGTCTCTGTATAGTTTTTCTGCCATCCTTACTGTTTTGATTACTGTAGCTTTGTAGAGTGGTTTGAAGTCAGGTAGTGTGATACCTCTGGCTTTATTCATTTTCTCAGGATTGCTTTGGCTATTCAGGGTCTTTTGTGGATTTGAAGAATTTTTGTTCTATTGCTTTCAAAAGCGCCATTGGGATTTCGATAGGGATTGCATTAAACCTGTAGATTGCTTTAGGTAATGTGGCCACTTTAATCATGTTAATTCTTCCAACCCATGAACATGAACTGTCTTCTTCTGTGACAGCACTTCCAGTCCCTGCTGGCAATGGCTGTCAGCACTGCTGTGCCGTCTAAGGCTCCCCAGCCACCTCTGCCGGGGTCCACCTCGACGGGACTCGGGCAGGGCCACGCGTGTTCCAGGAGGGGGCACTGCCTCCACCCCTCACACTCGGGGCCGAGTGTGGGGCTGCAGCCCGACTCCCCTCCACTGCCACACTCCGGGGCCACGGCGGCGCCACACTACCTCTGTGGCCACCTCCCCTGTCCCTTCCAATGTGCCCCCCGTCAGAGGTTCTGATGCATGAAGCTTTCACGCATGTTTGTGTGTCGAGCAGGAGATTCTTTGTTGAGTGACAGTTGTCCAACTTGTTACTAATTTAAGGGAAGAAACAAAGACATCATCTCACTCTGCCATGACCCTGACGTCCCCGGCAAGGATCTTTTTGTATTATATTTTATTGATTATGCTATTACAGTTGTCTCAATTTTTCCCTCTTTGCCCCGCTCCACCCAGCACCCCCACTCCCTCAGCCAATCCCCACACCATTGTTCATGTCCATGGGTCACGCATGTAAGTTCTTTGGCTTCTCCACTTCCTACACTGTACTTTACACCCCCATGGCTGTTCTGTATCCACCTGTTTGTACTTTATAACCCCCTCACCTCTTTACCCATCTCCCCCTCTGCCCTCCCATCTGTCAACCATGAAAACACTCTTTATGTCCATGATTCTGTCTCTGTTCTTCTTGTTTGCTTAGTTTGTTTTTTTAGATTCAGTTGTTGATAGATATGTATTTATCGCCATTTTATTCTTCATAGTTTGATCTTCTTTTCCTTAGATAAGCCCCTTTAACAGCTCATATAGTACTGATTTGGTGCTGATGAACTCCTTTATTTTTCTCTTGTCTGGGAAGCTCTGTATCTGCCCTTCAATTATGAATGACAGCTCTGCCCAGCAAAGGCTTTTAAAGTGATGGTGCTCAACTGTGTCAAGGGCATCACCGGTCAACTGGATGGCCTTTCTGGAGGACCAGTTGGCGAAAGGAAGGAAGGAACTTGACAGGTGCATGGCTTTGGGTGGTTAATTTCACTTCCAGGAATTCAGTGACGTGTTCAACAGGTGTTTACTGACCTACCTGGTGCCGGGCACTGGGATGAGTGCCAGGAAGCTGGGGGTGGGTGAGACAGATGCAGTCCTCCCACCCCTTACCGGCAGCAGGGGCTTAGCAATTATCACTCAATCCTCTATGCAAGGAAAGGCTGAGCAGCTCTGTAAAGGGGAGGTCCGGAGCCTCCTGTCCTGGCTTCTGAACACCAGCCGTGTGCCCGGCAGCTGGGAGGCCTTGCGCAGTTCCCGCTGCCTCCCTGAGCCTCATGGGGAGACGTCAGACTCCAAGGCGCTCGTGCCAGCGGGGGAGCCGACCTGCAGGCCAGGCTTCCCTCTCCCCTGGGAAGCATCGGTCAGGGCCCCGGAGGCCTCTCTCCTGCCTCAGCGCTCCAGGGAGGCAGCGGCCAGGGTTGCACAACTCCTGGAATGTACTAGAAACCGCTGTACTTTATGCTTTAGAAAGATGGAAATTTATAGATCTTAATAAATCTACTCTAAAAAAATAAAGATAAGTTCTAACAAGGGACAAAACCGTTCAAATGGTGTTCTGGGGAGAAACGTGAGCTCTGTGGACACCGGGCCTGCAGCATTGAGGAGAGCCCTCTTCGCTAGAGGGACCCAGGGGCTCCGCGGTGAGTAAGTTCCAGGAAAGGGTGTGTGAACAGCAGTCCAGGTGACAGAGGAACCGCTTGTTTCTTCCGCTGCAGCCAACTGCCCACCACCGCCACAAAGTCTGCTGGGGACGCTGGTGAGCAGGGTGAGCAGGGGGCCCGCAAATCTCCCTCTGAGGCCAGAAAGCTCTTCCAAGCCCTGCCGCCTCCCTCTGTACCCACAGCCTCCCACCCTCTTGCCTGCCTATCCACTGGTTATAATTCCAGATACCTGAAGCCAGATGTGGACAAGAAATCCAAACATAAGACGGCCGTAAAGAAGAAGACCCTGAACCCCGAGTTCAATGAGGTACACGGGGCTGGCGGAGCCACAGAAAGCCATCTCCCTCTCTCCCAGGGCAAGGGGACTGGATGGGAGGGACTGGGTTCTCAAGGGCCACAGCTTGAAGGACGGGAAGGGAAGGTGGGGAGGGGCGGCAGGGAAGAGGCTCTGGCCAGGTTGAGCCAGGCCAGGGTGCTGCAAACAGAGGGGAGGGCAGCCTAGAAAGATCTTCAGAGGATGGAGATGACGGGAGTTGAAAGGGGGACCCCCGCAGCAGGAGTGGGAGGTGCGAGGGAGTGGGGGACACTCCGGGTGGATGTGATCGGGGCGAGGAGCAAGAGAAGGGCGAGCAGCGTGGGGGCAGACAGAGGAGACCGTCCAGAGAGTGAGGGGGCCCCCCCTCCAGAGCACCATGGGAACCACTGGGAGACTTTGGGAGACAAAGAAGGGAGTGGCCAGCAGAGCTAGACCCAAAGAAGTCAAGCGCAACAAGGCTGAGGAACTCGAGTTGCTTTGGCAGTAAGGAGGCTCTCGGGGATCTGGGAGAGAGGCCTCCGTGACAAAAGGGGCCGCCGGTTGGGATGAGGGGACCTCAGGACCCCGGCTCGGCTCGCAGGCACGTGTGAGCCAGCTGACTGAGAATGTACATCGCCACCTTCAGACACTGGCCGCCCTCCCGCGCACCCACCCACCCCTCAGTCCCTGCCCGCACCACAGCCTCCCGAGCCCTCCTGGCCACGTGACATTAGCAATGACTCTCCCCTTCTGGCCGCCAGGAGTTCTGCTACGAGATTAAGCATGGGGACCTGGCCAAGAAGACCCTGGAGGTCACTGTTTGGGATTACGACATCGGAAAATCCAACGACTTCATTGGTAAGAGGACATGGTGAGACTGCTGTTCGGCCACACGCCTGTCCTGGCTTCAGCGAAGGACAGTGGCCCTGAATCAGACCGTAGCCCTTCCATTCTGGCCTCTGGGGAAATCTGGGGCCGTAGACCACCTGCCCCCACACGTGAAGGGCTTCAGACAGGATCCAGTCTGACTGCATGTGACCGAGGAAGAGACAAGCCCAGAGATGGAAAGAGGCCTGAAGGGTCGCACAGGAGTCTGAGGTGGAACAGGGGAGAGAGGTGGTGCTGGTCAGCGCCTTGGGCTGGACTCTGAGCCCTCGTGGCCCCCAGTCCACGGTGGCGTGTGCACAGGAAGGCTCCCCGGGCCCTTCCTTGCTCCTTTGTTGTCCCCTGCACTCTGCCCCAGCACTGCTCTGGTCCTGGGTAGTAGAAGGGCAGGATCCCTGGGCCCCGATCTGGGGCAGGGGGACCACTGTCCACCCTTGGAGCTCTGTGGGCGAGGTAGAGAGTCTGGCCTTGGAGCGTGGAGCCTGGGAGGGGGTGGGGGGAGCACTGGCCCCGGAGGGAGGGGCTGTGGGAGAGCCTGCCCCAGGCCCCTGGCTGCCCCCTCCACTCCCCTCCCGCAGGTGGTGTTGTGCTGGGCATCAATGCCAAGGGCGAGCGCCTGAAGCACTGGTTTGACTGCCTGAAGAACAAAGACAAGCGGATCGAACGCTGGCACACACTCACCAATGAACTCCCTGGGGCCGTGCTCAGCGACTGACCAGCCCCCACCTGCCACCGCACCCGTCCTTGCCTGTCGCTTGGCCCAACACAGGCCTGGCCCTGGGCTTCCTCAGCTGCTACCAAGGGCCTCAGCCCCCACGTTGGGGGAGATCCAGGACACCTGTTCGGACACAGAACCGCCGCAGCCCCCACTTGGAGGCCACAGAGGGCCCGGCCACTGCGAGGAACACCGAGGGCAGAGGGCCAGGCCTCCTTTCAGCCCCTGGGGCCTGATAGGGCCAGAGGTGAGAGGAGAGGAGCTTGGCCTCCCACCCCAGCGACAGGGAAGGGGCCGTCCGGGAGGCGAGGACCCTACTAGAGGTCAGCAGTAAGTCACAGGGGACCCGGGCTGAGAGGACGGGAGTGCAGGGGCGCCTTGATGGGGTCAGTGAGAACTCCTGAGGGAGACATTAGGAGGGATGTGGGAGGAGGAGGTTGGGGACAGGACTCTGACTTCATCTGTCCATCTCTGTCATTACTGGGCAGGTGGGAAAAAGTTGACCTGAGAGCCAGGAATCTAGTGAAGTTCTCAGAAGCTCCCAATGAACATGGGCACTTGGCACTTGAGTGAAATGCTTCACTCGAGGATTTCACAAGCCCCTGGGGACAAATGAAACCCAGGGCCCGCCCTCAGGGAGTTCCTGGCCTAGTCAGGGAGCAGGAAACGAATCATTACAGTGGACTGAGGACTGTCAAGGCCAGCCTGACCTACCTGCTAGTGTTCTGGATTCTGCTGGGAAGGCAGGGAGGGCTTCGTGGAGGAGGCCATGCTGCAGCAAGGCCTGGAAGGGTCGTGGCGTGTTCAGGCAGACAAACACGAAGGGGCCTGCGGGCAGTGGAAATGGCCGGCAAAGGCCTGCAGAGGAGAGAAGGGGCCAGGGACTCCGGGAATCTCTGGGGCACAGGGTTTGTTAGGACAGCAGTGGGGCCCGGGAGGGATGGCACCCAGTCCCGTTCCCTCCCCGTCCCTGGCTGTCAGGCCAGCAACTGTGGGGAATCATGTTGGTGCGGCCACAGGTTCAGTCCTCAGACCCAGTTGTCCACCTCTGATCACTCTGTGCCCCTGAGAAGCCTAGAGGATGGATCCTGCCTCTTGTTCTTCCCAGAGGAAGCATCAGGTCAACTGCAGTCAAGACAGAAAAGGGTCCCTTGTTTTGCATGAAAAGCAAAATTCCTCCTTGTCTTCCCACTCCTCTTCCCTTGCTCTGCCTCCCTGACCTTCAGGGTTTGGGACTGGGTAGCGGGGGGACCTCAGGTGGTTGCCTACGCATCCTGGCCCAATTGTGGCCACTGATGTCCCTCTCAGGAATACTTGGCAACAGCCCAGAGCCTTGCTTCTGGGAAAGCAGAGAGACACCCTGCCCAGTAGGCCTGTTTGTGCCCTGGGTTAGTCTCCAAGGGGGTTGAAGGCTTGGGGCCTGGGTCTGAAGCCCCAGACTTTCCCTGCCTACCAAGGGGCCATCAGGAAACCTGGGTGAGCAACTGCATAACCAAAGGGCTTCTGTGTTCGACCCGTCACGGCACTGATGGGAAACAGCCCAGAGAGGGAAAGTAACCTGCCCACGGCCTTGCAGCCTAACCACAGCCGGGGCCGGCCAGGCTCCACAGCCCCTGCCCCACTCCCAGCCCAGGCTCTGGACACCACATTTAGGGGAAGTAGTGTGCTGGGCTCACACACAAGAGGTCCTGCTAGCTGCCTGCCTAGCGCCGTTCCCTGCCTGCTGCCCACACACACCAACATCAGCAGCAGGGCTCACAGGGACACACGGGTTGGACCTGCTGCTGCAAACACAAAGCACACTACCATCTGAGGCCTGGGGTGAGGATGTGACTCCCACAAAGTGCCCATCAGCCCTTTCCCAGTTTGCAGGGAACCCAGGACTCCAGCCCCCACACAGTACCTGGCAAACTTTGCTGGTCGTGGAATGTTGGTTTTCCCGTCTTTAAGAAGGCTTTGTGTGTGTTGAGAGTTTTACATGCACTGTTTTGAATTTTCACAGTCCTTGTGTCTGGGTGAACTCTGGGTATCTTCTTTGCTTTTGGAGGGCCTCACTCGGAGAAGAGACTCATGGCCTTTCTGTGAAGACACGGAAATGCTGAATGGCAAGGCTACACGGGGCTGTGAGATACAGAGGGAAGCAGGCCCAGCTGGGACAAGAAGCCCGGACTCCTAGCACCCAGCCCAGGGCCCACTGCTGCTCCAGGCTGTGCAGGTGTAGACTGGGCCCTGAGAGGTGGTCCCAGCTGACCACAGGCTGGGAGGCGGGGCTTTTGCACAGCCAGCCCAGGTGGAGGATGGGGCGCTTGGACGGAAGGGCCCCCAGAGAGGGACAGAACCCTGGCGCTGTTCTAGACCACTTGCAGAATGCATCTGTTAAAGAAAAGGCTCTTTGAGAAGCTGCAAAGCTCTGCCTTTAACCCCAAACTGGCGTCTTTCCTCTGACCCATTAGACCCACAAAAATGGGAAATTTGACACCAAAAAAGTCATTCCAAACGCAGGTGTCAATAACCGGGGGTCTCCCCAGGCGCGCCACCCTACTCCACCGCCTTCCTTCCTGGTCTCCCCCCACCCACCCACCATCACCACTAGCCAATCCCTGACGGGCCCGTCTTCCAACACTGAAGCGGTAACCTCCTGACCTCTAGTGGTGAGAGCGAGGAACTGCGCCTCCCGGCCCGTGCATGTCCAGCCTTTGTTCCTTCCCAACCGACAGAACCTCCCAATGCATGGACTCTGGCTGTCGTCGACACAGACTCGTGCACTGCTTAACAACGTTTTTGCTACCATATGATGGCTGCAGAAACCGTCCTTAAACTGCAGCCCCACACACAATTTTTGTACTTTCGTCTGGCCTACCCAAAGGTATCCTTTTTAAGTCTTATTTGTTAATATTTATAATAACATATAATCCAAAGTAAATGAAAACGTTCATTGTGATCCTATCAGCTTGGGAGACTCATTTACTAGATTTGAATGGATGGGCAGGAAAGGATGAGAGAGTGGTACTGGGCTTAATCAGCACATTTTCTCATTTACTCCTCACCAAGAATCCCTTTGAGGTAGGTTCCCGTGTTACAGATGAGAGAAGTGAGGGGTTGAACCTCTGGTAGGCAACAGAACCACAAGGCAGAGCAAGTCTTCCAAGACTTTTTACACCAGAAACAGGATCCCATGCTGTTGACCACCCATTCGACAAACAGCTGTGGCAAATTAATGCCGGGCACTAGTCTAGGTTCCTAGGGCCGATTCATCAGCAAGATGGTCAGTACACAGCATGTGTATGTTAAAAGATTTTTTTTTTTTCAAAAAGTCATAAAGGAACCATGTGGGCCAGGCTGGCTGGGTTTAAGAAGGGAGATCAGGTGAGCCTGTGGACAATATGACTTCTAAGCTAAGACTTGGAGAGGGTGAGGTAGGGAGCTATGGGAATTCTTGGGGCAGAGCGACCCAAGTGAAGGGAACAGCCAGTGCCCCTCTAGGTGGGAGCAGGCTTGGAGCGGGCTAGCAAGGAGGCCCATGTGACTGGAGCAAGGTGGGGCAGAGGAGGAGCGATAGATGAGAACACAGGGTACAGGACGCCAGACAGAGGAGGGCTTTGTAAAGACTGACTTTCACTTTCTGTAAGGTGGGAGCTTTGTTTCCCACAGGCCACCCGGTAGAGAACAAACCTGTGGTCTGGGGCAGGAGATCAGTCCTCATTTGGAGGTCCCTTGTGGTGGCATGCCAGTAAGTCCAGGGTTCAATGTCTAAATGGTACCCAGTGTCCAGGGCAACGTCAGCTGGGTCCCAGGCAGAGCCTGCTGAGACATGACTTGGGTCAAGGTGTAGGTCACCAGCCTCCCTTGGCAATCACCTCTGTGCTGGCCTGATTTTCCAGGCGTCCTGCCCACTCTCTGCACTACCTGACACCTTTCCAGGGCATTCCTTTTCTGCTCGCATTAACAAAAGTCAGATCTTGTTATTTTGGACAAAGAACACTGCCTGGTCCTCTAAAGCAATCTGATCATCTAGGTCTCGTTACCTCTTTGTGAGGCCTGCCTGACTACCTCAGTCACTTTCTCCCCCATCATCCTACTTTATTTTCTTCACGGCGCTTACCGACTAAACCAGTGTGCATTTGCTCATTCCTTTCTCCCCTCACTAACCTTCTTGACAGTTTGGATCACATTTTGCTTATTAACCTCAGTAACTCCAGCCCAGGACCGAGCACCAAATAGCCCTCTAGTATTTGTTGAATGAATGGATGAAAGTTGTCACCATGAACACTGTTTGAAATACGCCAAATCCATGTGCCTGGAATATGTGATTATAGGTTGGGTCTAAGCCCAGATACGTGCACGAGACTTCTGTTAGTGCCAGACTCCTGGGGTACAGAAGAGAAAGGACCCCACGTACCACAGAGTTATTCTGAGTATAGGAAGGGGAGAATGAGAAAGGGTGGGGGAAAGGGGAGAAAGACTGAAAGGAGAAAGGAGAGAAGGAAGACTGCAGGGGACTGAGGAGGGACAAAGTAAAGGGATGGCAAGAACGGGCCTAGGAAAAGCTACAGAAGCAGGCAGGGGTCAGGATAGCCAGCTCTCCACTGCACACTCAGGGGTCCAGAAGTGACAGCCCAGAATGGCCAAACACATGGATTTCTGTAGTGTCTAGTCCCCAGAGCGAGTGCTCCAGGGATGGGCTGAAGAGAGATCTAGAAACGAATCACATCAGGAGAGGCATGTCCCCACACCCAGAGCCAGCAGGAAAGGGGACAAGGAAGCCCACTCATTGTCCAGTGGCCAGTGTTATAATTAATCCTGACCGTGAAGATTCCTGGGTACATCAGGCAGCACTGTGCTGGACTCCAGGAGACTGTTAGCCCAGGAAAACTGTACACAGCCAATCTGAAGATGGATGCAAAACGAGAAGGAGCACTGAGGGCAAGACTGACAGAAGGCTTGGAGTTCAGGTCTGGACTATGCGAGGCAGGGACAGGGGAGGGGCGGGAATCGGGCACATGCGGTTTCCGGGAGTGACACCGCTCTCTGTGGACGGGAGACCCGGCCAGCGCAAAGCCTGTTCGTGAGGACACCCTGGAGCAGCCCCCGCCTCCTCCAGACACTTCTGCTCTCCCTTGAAGTATTCCCCACGGTGAAGGCAGCATCCCCACAGGTCTGCCCCTGAGCAGGAGAACAAGGGCCAGCTGGGGACAGGCAATTCGTTCCTGTGCTATTTCAGCAGGGAATCCTTAAAGACTCTAAGAAAGCGGCAGGGACCTGAGGGAAGGTGCCAACATCACAATGTTAGTGAGCATAACACACAGAGCTCTCAGACATGTGCACACTTAATCCTCATAATTATATTGTATTAACCCCCACTTTGTAGGTGAGAAAACTGAGGGAGAGTAGAATGCTCAAGGATAATTAGAGGTTGAGCTGGGACTTGACCCCAAGCCTGTGGCTACAGAAACCACTCAATGTCTACGATACATTGCTGGAAGATGTAGATGGTGGTACCAGGCCTAACAGATTCTCGGGTCCCTCAAGGTCCCAGGGTCCTGCTCTGCCAGGCAAGTTCCCCAAGGCTCCCCCTCAGCCCTTGCTGTCGGTCCTGACCACATGCAGCACTGCCGGATGGGCTCCCAATTTGTCACAAGCCCCAATTCCCGTGTGCCCCATGGGTCTGGAGACATGAAACCGGGACACTTGTGTGGCTTCCCAGAGGCCAGGTGTGAGCCAGTGTGAATGCATCGCATTTTAGGAATCAGAAAACCGAGAATCCAAGCGCTCGGAGCGTCCTGGGTTCTCTCCACTGCTCTGCACCTTCATCCTTTCACCTCTCTTCACACTTTCTCAGCCGACTCAACACATAAATGATCCACAACGATGGCCTCAGCCCCAAGTGTGGGTGGCTCTCTGCTTGGCTCACCCCACCTACCTAGGAATGTTCTCAGTTTCTCCAGAGAGCAATGGCTCAATCCAGGTTACAATTTACCTCTTTGAGTCAAAGGATCAGGGGACGAGGTCACAAGGTACAACCATGGCTTGTGGGCAGGACACACGGGGTCAAGTACGCCTTTCGCAAGGCTCCTGAGCCAGTGGGAAAGGAGAAAGGGCAGGTTATCAGCCAAGGGAAAGAAGGGACAGAAGCCAAAGACCAGTGCCACAAGCACATTATGGCAGAAACCATTCAAAAAGCAAAGGGCAGTGAGCAGCCAATAGCAAAACACTAAAACAACAAAAATCCTAAATGATCAAGAGTGAATTAATTCCATTGTGATCCACATGGAGGTAAGAAAGTAATGCAGCCATTTCCATTTTAATTATGAACATGGCAAGGTATCTTGGCAAGGAGTAACAAGAAAGTGAAGGGACAAAGACATGAGTATAGACGGCAATCCTTTTTATTCTCAGTATTATATATATTGGTAAGATATACATAAAATTTGTCGCTTTAACCACTTTTTAAAGTATTTTTAGAGGGGAAGGAACAGAAAAGGAGGGAGAGAAACATCGACATGTGAGATAATCTTACCTCTCCCACCCCAACAGGGAATCAAACCAGATATTTAGGTTCACAGGCTGGCACTCAACCCACTGAGCCACACCAGCCAGGGAATCATTTTAAGCATTTTTAGGTTTACAATTTAACAGCACCAAGTACATTCATAAGGTAGTGCTCCCATCACCACTACTCCTAGAATGTTATCAACCCAAATTAACAATTAACTTCCTGCTCCCCCTCACCCCAGCCCCTGGTAGAGTTGTTTTAGGTACTTAAAAAAAAAACTTTTTGAGAGGAACATCAATGTAGGATTACCTCTTCTGCACCCACTACTGGGGACCTGGCCAGCAATCCAGGCACATGCTGACTGGAAACCCAATTGGCAAATCTTTGGTTCGCAGGCCGATGCTCAAATCCTCTGAACCACACCAGCCAGGGCCATTTTCTCTTTGAATGTGCCTCTTCTGGTTACCTCACATAACTGGAATTATGTATTTGTCCTTTTACGTCTGGCTCATCTCACTTAAAACAGTATTTTCAAGTTTCCTCCACGTTAGTTCCTCTTTACGGCTGAGCAATAGTCCACCATGCGGGAGAGGCCCTTTTGTTTATTCATCTACTGAACAACACTTATTTCCATTCTTCAGCTATTTGTGAATACTGCTAGAAAAAATTTTAAATGTTGACTTTGTTTCAAAACATATGGCATAATGTGCAGAACAGTTCCACATACTCCTCAGAGTATGTTTCCAGCCAGCCATCAATGAACGAAAGCTCCGAACCGTGAGGTCTTACTGAGCCTCCTCGGAAGATCTGTCCGCACAAATGCTCACCATCTCCTGCTTTCTTCTGGGTTAAATAGAATTCCATTTGTTTATGTCGACTATTAGCTAAATTTCTTTACAACATTTTAATATTGTGCTTGCCCTAAGTATTACTATGTATCCTTTATCTGAGTCTTCTTAGAGTTACTATCATGTTACTTCAAGTAATATTTTAAAAGTTGCAAGCAAATGAATTTACTTACCACCCCTGGCTGCTTTTCATGCTATAGTTATCTTATGATGTGCCTATATATATATTAATCCCAAAATACAGGTTTATTCTTTGCTCTAAACACATATTTTTCCTTAAAGATTTATTTTTTAGAGGGGGAAGGGGGAAAGAGAGGGAGAGAACACAAATGAGTGGTTGCCTCTCACATACCTCTTATGTGAGAGGTATGTGAGGGGACCTGGCCCACAACCCAGACACATGCCCTGACTGGGAATCAAACTGGCAACCCTTTGGTTCGCAGGCCAGCACTCAACCACTGAGCCATGCCAGCCACGGCACACAAGTTTTTTTAAAAACTGGAAGAGAAGTCTTTTAAAAAGGTACTTTCATATTTACCATTCACGTGCTCTTCCATCCCTTCTCGAAGATTATGAATGTCAACTGTTCTACCTTGTCTT